TCTCTAAGATGATTCACCCCTACGTGTGGGGTGAATTTTGTTATCACTGGAAGTATATACAGCGATTCTAAAAGTCTTCTGTTGATTCTGGCATTTTTATAAGAACATTATGGCAGAAAGAAATACCATTTTAAAAATTTGTTTATTTATTTGCTGCCAAAGGGTTTATTTTCTTTTGGTCCAAGATTTTGGAGGGGGCTCCAGAAAGGTGAGAAAGCTGCCTAGTGGCTGGAGGGAGAGGGTTAGGCCAAAGCCCTGATGCTCAGTGATGCAGGAGCCCCTCAGAGAAGGCCAGGCTCTGTGATCTCCTAGTTGTGCTTAAGGGTGAGCCTCCAAAGAAGTGCTCGCCTCTTTGGATGGAACAGACCCAGGGACTGGGGCCTGCCAGCCTGCGGAGGTTGGTGAGGTTGTCGCCTGTCTTCTTGATGAGCTTCACCTGCTCATCTAGAGAGTGGTGCTCTAGGGAATCACAGATGTGGGGGTTGGTCTTGGCATGAAGGTCCAGAAGAGCTTGGTTCAGGTTCTTCTCCAGGGCCAAGGCAGCTTCCATGGCATCCAGGGTTTTACCCCACTCATCTTCTGATGCTCTCTGCACATCTTGAAAGAGAACACGGCCGCCACACCGGTTTTGCATCTTCAGGAGATGCTGGGCACCCTCGCATTTCTCCTTGGCCAGGTCTCAGAAGAAATGGCCCATGCCCACCAGAGCCACATTGTCTCGGTCAAAGTAGTAGTCCAGAGAGAGGTAGGTGTAGGAGGCCTTCAGGTGCAGGTTCACCAAATTTGACAGCAGCCTCCACTTCGGTGGAATAATTCTGACGAATCTGAGAGGTCATAGCTGGTCAGCAATAAGGAGCTACCCACAAAAGAACGATGTTGTCTGGTCCTGGAAGGAGGAGATAGGCCAGAAGATGGTTCTGAAATTTGTACCTGGAAGGTGGATGCAAGATAAAAGAGGGAGTCCCTGGGTCTATTCCATCCAAACACTGTTGAAGCAAGAAACAGATCCATGGGATCTCTGGATGTGCCATTTTTTAAATTTTAAAGGTCTAATATAAAATTTTATTTTATTTTATTGATTAGTTAATTAATTTATTCATTTGATACAGAGTCTCCCTATGCAGCTCAGACTCAAAGTGATCCTCCTGTCTCAGCCTTCTCAGCACTGGGATTATAGGCGTGTGCCACCATGCCTGGTTTTGGGGTCAGTGTGGTACTCCCCGGGTTCTAGGGCCTGCATGGCATGGATTACCGAGGATCAAACTTGGATGCTTGTGCTTGCCAGACAGGTACTTAGACCACTGAGCTAACTCCCCAGCTGTCTAATTATTTTTAAGAGGAGGATTTATTTATTTATTTATTTATTTATTTATTTATTTTTGCAGTACCAGGGATTGAACTCAGGACCCTGCGCTTGCCAGGCAAGCGCTTATTCCACTGGGCCATCTCCCCAACCGAGAGGCATTATTTAAATACTGCAAGAGGGTTTAATAAGTCTGTGGCCCTTGAGCATTCCCTTCTCAGCCCATCCTAATGCATCACAGGAAGTTACTGTGACCTCGCTAGCAGATGTTTCTGATGTCCAGCATCCCTTCATCCCCTTCAGTTCTGGGCTACCAGAAACCCTCAGCAAATTCCATGAAGAATGGACAAAACATTGCTCCCTTGAAGGTGTTTCCTAGAGCTGGTATGTGAAAGTATTGTTTAGGGGTCAGACTGTTTTGGTTCCTCAGCTTCCAAATGGCCCCATGCACAGAACAGAGCCTGCTGAGTAGCCCTGTGTCCAGGAATTACCCAAACACCCGACTACTCTGAGAGGTTTCCTTTTAGTTTTCCTTTTGTATGTTATCAGACACCAGCTGAACATTTAAACAGTAGGCAAGGAGAGGACTCAGGATAATTTGGCTCCTGCTTCTCAAGGGTGGCTGTCCTCACCTGGCCACCCATCATCCACCTTTGAGGCGTTAGAGGCCTCTCCGGGTGGAGCAGGAGCCCCAGGTGACAGCCTTTCTTTTAGGCACCCAGTGAAGGATGCATTGACCCAAGCTCCATAATACCCTACGTGCTAGAGGACGAAAGCCCTCAGCTTTTCAAGTGGTGGAGTTGGCCTTTGAGGGTGAGTCAGGAACGAGTTGGAAGCCAACTTCTGTCAACACCCAGTTTGTTGACTTGGACAGATGTTCTATGCTGACCTGCAGCTTCACTCTGGCATTTATATTAGCTCTGATATTTCACAGCATTGTAGCAGTTTTCTAGTATTTTGTGTATCACATCAGGAAATTAGTAAATTCAGAATTTCAGCTCAATTTGTTTCAAGTGGAAAGACCTTTGGTTGATGTCGGGCTAATGATTCACCACTGAGAGGATTTGGGTTGTATGAATTTGAAATTCTTTGGGTTGGTGTTGATAGTTCTATTACATAAGAAGGAAGTGCTTCCTGAGCCACCAAGCCCCACAGGGCCTTCCCAGTAACATGAAGGTGCCGGACAAGGCCGGCCACACTGAGGACGTGGCTGTGTGTGTGGATGCGCACTATGGGTGAGTCTTGAGCTTGTAAAGGCGGAGCTGGAAGCCCAGGGGGCTAAGTGGTAGGATGGGCAACGGCGAATCAGATGCAGTGATGATATCTGCCCTAGTTATCTCACAGGGCTTGCTTCACAGCACGTTATTCGCTTGTGTGTTGTGTTAATTGTGTTATTGTTAAGTATGAAGGACATAAGGAAGATGTAGTCTTGGGAAGAGTCTGCAGATGAGTTCATCACTGTTTACATTTGTGAACAATTGACAGTGTGAACTCTGTGAAGTCTCTTTCAGTTCTGTTCGTGTCTCAGTACCTAGTGTGTGATGTAGCAGGGCTATGCATTGGTTATAGGAATGAGTGAATGATTCTGTTGAAGTACTTCATTCTGTTGAAAATATGTTGTCATTATAGGTGTGCCTTCCTCAAACAAATTGAAATGAATGTGATGTGAATTTCCTTTTCGTGCTGAATTAAAGTTCCACACAAGTTGCAATTGTATCCTCTCCACAACCTTTCAGACCACTGAAATGGTCAACTTTTCCATTAGAGTTTGACTCAAAGGCTAGTTTATTCCCTCAGTATTATTTCAGGATCACCAGGGATATATGTTTTTGGCTAATGTTGTTTTCTTTCTTTCTTTCTTTCTTTCTTTCTTTCTTTCTTTCTTTCTTTCTTTCTTTCTTTTGTATTTAGGACAGGGTGTACAGGGTCTCGCTGTGTAGATCGGACTCATAGTGATCCTCCTGTTTACAGTCTCCCAAGTGCTGGGATTACAAGTGTGCACGCCCAGTCTCAATTGCCATCTCAGCGCACCCCAGGGGTGGGGCCTGCATGGCAGGCCTTGGGATCGAACTCCCAGCCCCTGTGTCTGCCTAAGCAGGCGCCTGAATCCGCTGAGCTATTTGGACAGCCCTAATGTTGTTTTCGTATTTGGCATTACCCTGAAGTCCAACATTTCTTTTGGAAAGGAAGATAGGATTTTTTTCTTTGACATCAGTTTTCTCATTAAGTTAAAAAAAAAAAAAAAAAGTAACATCATGGATGTGATTCCAAGAACCACATTCTAGTCTTCCACCTGTAGGAGCGGGGTTTGGACCAGCAGTAGCTTCATGGTGTGGCTGGCTCGGTTAGCATGCCGACATACCCTGGTGGTGCTGGGTGTGAATGTGTATGGCAGCTGAGCTGCTTGCTGTAAGTAAAGTTGGGCTCTGTTGGCCTCTTGTTCTGTGGTCTCTTAGGATATAGATGATCATTGTAATCCACCTTACATGCTCACAAAAGTACTTCAAGGCCGTGGGCCCCACCTCTTTTCAACAGAGAAAGGTGTTCTCCCTGCAGGTTGCAGGTGCACTTCAGGGATGGACAGCCTGGTCCAGCAGCCCTGTGTGGTCGGTGTGCTTGGGAAAGTCCTGGGTAGATGGATACTGCACAGCAGTGATGATCTCAGACTTGAGCCTGGCTGCAACCCTGCTGCAGACAGATGAAACTGAGCAAGGCCCGGGTGGGAAGGGCTGTGATAGTCGGCGCTGGTGTGGACCCAGACTCCCAGGCTCTTTGTGCAGCTGTCGCCCCGTGGAGTGCTCTGTGTATGCATCCTGCTGGCTCTGGTGCGTTTTCCTTGGAGGAATCTCAGCGAATGTGAGCTGATACGCGTTGTAGGAGATCAGTACAGGGCTTTTATATGTCACTTACATATCAGCGCCTAACTTTTCATGTCCTAATTGCTTAAGTCAATAGTAATGCTTTAAGTTTGCAAGTTTATTTTTAGCATTCTCATGTGAATTCTCTTTCTTGGTATGGATTTGTACAGACTTGGGGGATCTGTCCAATGTGGCCTCCAGGGACTAGGCTGTAGGCTCTGTACATTTCTGTGTTTTCCCATGGTGGCGATGGGCATGAGTGCACTTTAGGTCACAGAAATCACACGTCATTTCCCGTGTTTTACCTTATAAGGTCAGTGCCATCCTTGATGTGGTTGAAATCGGCTTTTCTTGGGTATGAGACAGTGAACACCCGAGCTTTAAGTGCTTTGCCAGGTGTCACTGTGGCCATGGCAAGGTAGAAGTGGAACTGACAAGTACCCTGCAGTCAGTCTGGAGTCCCGAGCTCTGCGAGCCCTACTAGCCAGCAGGCTTTATCTTCCTTGGAGTTGGGGAACCACTCCAGAGATGTTTCCAGGAGGATAACTAAGCCCAACTTCAGGGCAGGTGGGGAAAGAAAGTGTCCATGTGACTCACGGTGCTGCAGTGGTTTTACAGCCTTGGACTGCTTCTGTGAAGTCCCCGAGGGGCTGTCCCCTGCGCTTCAGAGAAGGCAGGCCCTTAAGTGGTCCTCCTCCTTGGGGTCCAGTATCCTGGGGTCTCCAGATAATGTCAGTCCCCAAACCTGCATGGCGTGAAAAGGGGGGAACTGACGACAGTGATGACTCATGCACCAAACTTGCATTGACGGCGTCATGCTTTCTGCTGTACTTTTTCAGAGTGCAAATTCACCTGTGCCAGCGGCAAATGCTTGTATTTTGGCTCACTGGTCTGTAACCAGCAGAATGACTGTGGGGACAACAGTGATGAGGAAAACTGCCTCCTGGTGACTGAGCATCCACCTCCAGCCATCTTCAATTGTAAGTGCCTCCTTCTCGCCCCAGTGTACTTGGGTGTGAGAGCATCTTGGAGGTGGGCAGGAGCATGACTGTCAGGATGTGGGAAGGCTGCTGTTTTCCAGTTATGGAAGTAAACTTGAGTTTTCACAGCGAAGTAGTTTCTTCTTTTAGGATAGAAAGATGATGTGTCTGAAATCAGGAATTTTGTTTTGTTCTCAGAGACGTTTGTGACTCTGTGTTTCAGAACAGATCTTGCTACTTATTTAAGAAGTGCAGATAGAGTCCAGGATGCTGCTGTTGATATATCAATATATTCATTCATATATCAATCTAGTGATATATGGTATGTCACACCAGCTTTATGTAATTCTTTGAGTGTATCACTTAGTAATTTTAAATAAGCAAAGAAAGACAGGTGGAGAGTCCATAATTAAGAGAGTAGATATACGTGAGTTGGCTAAAGTCCTCAGCTTGTGTTTTTTCCATCAGATCTGCATGAGAAGCAGTGTGTGAGACCTTGAAGTGACTGACCCCCAAGGCTGAGGCCTTGGGCCTTCCTTGGACCTGAGAGGTGAAATCAGAGCTTGAAGCTTGCTTATTTTCAATCTCATGGTTTTAGGCAAGGAAGGAGACAGAAGGCAGGAAAAGCAGATTGTGGCTTTCCGTGCTCTCTGGGCAGCTGATGCAGGCTGCAGGTCAGGACCTTTCTGCAGTGGCTCGCTTGGGAGGGCGTGCGCTGCCCTAACCATTGCAGTGCTCTGCAAGTGTGGCTCTGAAGCCCAGGCCTGCTCCCCAGTTGCTGCTGTCGGGAAGTGGGACCTGGCCGGAGGTCGTCCATCTGTGAGGCTGTGCAGTGAAGGGGATGTTGGGACCTGGCTCTCCCCTTTACTCTGTGCTCTGCGTGAGCTCTGGGGTCACACACGACGTCACAGTGGATGTGAAGCTGTGGGCCCTGGCCGTGCCCTGAGACCCCAGAGGCTGTGAGCAAAGTGTGTCTTTGTTCCTCTTACGCTGATTTGCCCCAGACAGTGGTTATGGGATGAGAAGCTGGGGGACACCGCCACCTCATGGCGCTCTCATGAGGAGCTGGGGTGCATTCAGCTTCTGCCCTAAGTTCTTCCATGCTCTTCTAAGGAGTTAGATTCATTACAGAATTAAAAATGTTTGCAGTAGAAATTAGACTGCATAGGAACCAAAGCAATAGAGGAGAATGGGACGGAGGCTGGGATGTAGCTCAATGGCATAAGCACCTGCCTGGCAAGCACAAGGTCCCAAGTTTGATCCCTAGTACCACAAAATAAAAGGCAGGGGTGGGGGGAAGATTTAAGAAAAGACACTTTTCTCTATTTCTACTACATTTTTATAATGGGAGAAAGCTGTGTATGCCTCAGTATGAAACTGTGCCCTAGCAGGTTGTGTCTTCTATTTGTGGTGCTAAGTTCATGGGTCTGAGAGGGGAGTTTTTCTCTCTTACATTAATTTGTACTTCCTTGCACTGAGCTACTTGAAACCTGTGCTGGAATGCATCTCTCAAGGTGAGATTGAAGTATGCTGTCTCAGTGCTGTGCACACGTTCACTGTGGCTTACATTTTCTGCAGTGAACACTACAAGGCAGTGCTCTCCTTGGGGACAGCCCTGTCTGTCCTGGATGCTTTCACTACCTGTGGTCCTACTGTGTGCACAGGGACCAGCACAAGCCAGGGGCTCAGGAGGGAGGCTGCTGGCAAGTACAGCAGCCTGGGGGGATGTGCTTCCCTCTCCTTAGGGCTGCAGGGTGCACCAGGAGACTGTCCTGTGCCTGGGAATGAAGTCTGCTTGCTCCAGCTGCTCTGGGGTGGGTCCTGCCCTGGGACTCGCATGGCCAGGAATGTTGTTTCTCCAAATTCTGTGCCTCAGTGCCGTCCTCCTCTCAGTGCAGGCTCAAGCCTGGTTGTTTTGAGCACTAAGAACCTCCTGACCTCTGCGCCCTGGTGCTGGCAGCTCAGCTCAGGCCAGGGGATCTTCCCAAGAGAAGGACAGTGATGGGCAACTTCTTTTTCTGGTTTCTGTGGATGTGTGTACAAACATGGCAAAATGTGGCAAGGACATCTGCAGCCCATGCAGTGTTACAGGTCAGGGTGTGAGGTCTGTGGAAAGCAGGCCACCAAGCCCACCCACTGCCTGGAGCAGTGCAAAGCATGTCTGCAGATTCTTCTTCTGCATCTGGTTCTGGGGCTTCACCCTCTCCCCTTCCTATCTGGTCCCTCTCTCCCACCCTCCTCTCTTCCTTCTCTCTTTCTCATCAGCAGTTTTTCCTCATTTTGAAATCACATTCCCAGGTAGCTTTTGTATTCATTTAAATAAAATAAACCCTTTAATTTTGTTTGGGAGCAAAAGAGAGCAGTTAAATTCATAAACAGCTCAGTTTTGCAAAAATGTATTTGCAGTCGTAGCTTCTAAGTGTAGGTGTAACCAGAACTCGTTGTGTTTTTATACCTACAATGGGAGTTTACTTACCCTGCTCGCTTGTGAGACAGTAGTGAGTCAGGGGGCAGGATGGCAGAGGGGCCAGACTGTGGGTGTAGCTTCAAGCTGAGCTGGGTTTAGTTTCAGTTAAAGGAAGGAAGTGACTGTCCCCCCTTAATGGCCTGTGTCTACAGAATGGCGTCAGTTTCTGCTGTCCATTGGCTGAGAGAACGCACGTGAAATAGCGTGGTGAGCAGCGCAGACTCATAGTCGCACCTCACTGGCTGCCGTCCTGGCCCCTCTCAGGGAGGTGGGTGCTGACTTTCTCGTCTGCTCTCTGTGTCAGCTGCTGTCCTTATGCAGCAGGAGTGTCCCAGTGTCTGAGCCTGCGTGCCACCCACCCTTGCAGGTTGTTGTCCACTGTGCTGTCCCTGGGGAAGGCTCCTCAGGGCATGCCCAGCTGAAGGCAGCTTGTTGGACCTGGCCAGTGACTGCCCCATGCTGCTGTTTGCATTCACCAGGCACTGGAGGAAGTGGCAGTTTGTCACACAGAGACATTCTCTGGGAGTTGTGGCTGCTTTGAGCTTTGTGGCTGGGGATATCCCTTGCCTTCCCTTTGCAGATGCTCCCTGTAGTTAAGGATGTGGCTTCCCAGGAGCGGAAGCCAGAGATGATTTTGGATGGGTGAGTGTTCTTTCCCTGCCGTTCTGCCTAGAAAGGGTGGAGAGGGAACCAGCAGTGTTTTACTTCTCATGAGTGCTCAGGTCTCATGTCTCCGGGCTCCCCACCTGTCACTTTGATGGATTCCTGTGTGAGTGGTGCATCCTTTGCCAATGCATTTCCTACACCGGTGGGCACTATCTCTTTGGTGTAGTGCCAGCCCTGCATCTACATTTTCTTTTGCTTTCCACCTTTAGAAAACTGAAGTATCAAGGGATATGTGACTGTCAAATGCTGCAGTGCAGGAAAACTAATAGTGGATCATCCTTGCTCCTGCATAAGAGCAGGATTGGCTCATTAGACACTTTGCTCTCACTTAGAGAGAATATTTACTGTTCTAAGCACACTGAGGTGGAATCTTCTGGATTCTCAGATGGTTGGAATAAATTTCCAGTCTGTGCCCAGCTCTGGTTGTGCGCCAAGGCCCAGCTATCCAGATTAGGTCTGTCTCTCTCTGTCTGTTTCTTCTCTTGAATTAATGGTAGAAAGAAAGCGTCACTGTGATACATCTAGTCCATGATGCCGGTGTCTACAGGAGCCTTTTCCTCGTAGCAGCTGCACATACCTCTTCCTTGTGTCACTTGGGACCAGACGGGCACCACTGCTCCTCTGCTGTCCTCTGTGCCAGCCATGGCTGCATGTCCTAGACCAAAGTGGCTTGTTTTGCTGTGTGGCTGAAGAGGCTTTGTGCAGATGTGGAAGACTGGCTGGCGTTGATACCGTGGGAAAGTTTCTACATGTCCTTGCTGTGGAAGGGAAAGTATGCTGAGTTCCCAGCTTTTCTGATATCTTTTCTTTGGCTGCTCTGTCAAAACTATCATACTTGTGAGCACTAAATGTACAAATCATGCAAATAAAACCACTAGCTGCCTGTCTTCTCTGTCAGTGTAACTGGCATTGTGGTGGAGAAGGACCCTGTAATCAGGGTCTCAAATGTGCACATACAGCGGTAAATAGAGATGACCTGGGATGAGGCCCAAAGGCTCCTGCAGCATGTCTGAGGAGAAGAGAGTCACTCTGGCTGGCCTGGAGCCATGGAGGCTCTTGTGTGGATGGGGAGAAGAGGGCACTGAGCTTCCAGAACAGGAATAGCCTGAAGGGTGGAGCTCTCCTGGGGCAGGCGCTGGGGTAGGAGGTTGAGTTGCAAATAGGTGGGGCCCAGAGAGGAGCAGTGTGCAGGGCTGCACCTTCTACTGGGGGTCTGGGACCTTGGGACCCAGATGCTGTCACTGCAGCCTCCACTGCCCTTGAGGAAGCCATGACCCATGTGTTTCTGACATGAACGCCCTGCTGCTCAGCTGCATCCTGGTGCGGAGCAGCTCCTGACAGATTTGCTCCATGTGGGAGAGGTGTACACTTGGGGAGTTGGGCTGCAAACTGAGTTTCCATGGCAGTGGCTGCTAAGGGATTCATGCCCTGGACCTTCAAGGAGCCAGAGATGAAGCTGGGGGGAGCCGTTGCTTCGAGGGTCATTCAACTGACCAGCAGGATCTGATTCTGGGAGATTCTGTGAGATACAGCAGCACCCACCCCTGCTGGGGCAGAAGCCGCTTCTCCCAGTGCAGGTGTCCTGCAGAACACAGGTCTCACTGTCAAATGTACTGAAGCCAAGAAGCTGTGCCCAAATGAAGCCAGGGTTTCAACTTCAGGACTTCTTCAGAGATTTTTTTATACCTCAAGGCCATTAAAATAAAACCAAATAAAATACAACCAAATGAAATAAAATCCAACACATCGTCACCTGGATCAACTGTCTTGCTTTCCCAGACCCTTTCTTCCCACCTCCTTTAGCTTTTCCCATAAAGGAGCTGAAACTCTTAGGGCTGGAGAGATGGCTCAGAGGCATGGGTGCCTG